TCCCCTACAATAATGCAACATAAGTAAAACAAAACACACACACACACACACACACACACACACACACCTATATTCACCTATATTGGAAAAAGTTAACAAAACTTTGAATGGGCACTTTATTTACTCTTGTGTTTTATCTATTTTAAAGAATTTATAAAAAGTTAACAAAACTTTGATTGGGCACTTTATTTACTCTTGTGTTTTATCTATTTTAAAGAATTTATTGAGAAGCCACAATGTCCCTAGTAATCACTGAGATTAATGTTTGCATTTTGTTACACAGCATGACTATTACAAATAGAAGATCATTTAATCAGTAGGAATGTCCTCTAGATTAGTTTTTATAGGTTAATATTTGTTAATTCCCAAATCAAATATTTACTGAAGTAAATATTTCAATGGTTTATGTGTCACTAAATACAACTTTGATATATAAAAGTTCTTATTCCATTACTAAATTTAGTAATGCAAATAAAGTTTTAGTTTATTGCTTCTGTATAAAGCTTCGGCCAATTCTGAGAGGGCTAGAAAACTAATAATGTATTTAGAATTTGTTTAGAATGAGGTTGTTTTTATTAATATTTCTCTCAAGCAGAATTATACTTAAATCACTTGACTTTGAAAGATCAGGGTTTTAGTTTATCCAGATAGTACAATATTTCCTTAGGGGCATAGCAGCAGATATTTAATTTTCATACTTGGATATTTGATCTATACAAGTTTATGGATCAGCAAGCAATATAATTTGCCAGACATGTCTCCATTTTTCATTTTAGAAATAGACCAATTGCTTAGTGCACTAGTACGGCATTTCTTGTGTAACAGTTTCCACAGACTGTAATTGGTTTTCCTTTATAAAAAGAAAAGTATGAAGTTTGTATTCAAACTGGTTTATTGAAGGAGTAAATCTTTACATAGAGGATGACAGTATTACTTTTTAATGTATATGATTTTTTTTTAAAGAAAATCAGATACTAGGATAGCTTTCACTCAAAATAGGAAGACTGCTTTTTTTTCATTACAGCCTTTAGTATTTATATTGCCTTTTACTTCATAGGTAGGTTATTTTGATTAAAATAAAAAGGAATTAGAAAGAATATACCATGTATTTATTGATTATTTTCTATATGCCAGATATTCTGCTAAGCATTATATTTGGGTTTTATTTAATCCTTATAACCCTACAATTTATTGCAATTCACATTTTACAGATTAGAAAAAGACCAAGACGTAATAGTAAAATATAATGAAATAATAAAATTGATAATAAAAATCTGTATAATAAAAGCCTAAGCAATCGTTACAGTGGAACAACCAGAATGACCAGTCGCTACAATGTGCACTAGCCACCAGGGGGCAGATGCTCAATACAGGAGCTGCTCCCTGGTGGTCAATGCACTGCTCAGCCAGAAGCCAGGCTCACAGGGGCCAGCGCAGCAGCAGTGCTAAGGAGCAGCGAGCCGAGTGGTAAAGAGAAGCAAGCAGGTGGGGGGTAAGGAGCGAGAGGTCCCAGACTATGAAAGGGTGCAGGCAGGCCTGAGGGAAACCCCCCTCCAGTGCACAAATTTTGTGTATTGGGCCTCTAGTAATAAAATAATCACTAATATTCAGTAAATATTAGTGAATACAGACTATACCTGGAGCACTGTTTCAAGCACTCTGTGTGTGTTATATCATCTGGCTCACCACACATATGAAGTGGATTCAATTGTCATTCCTGTTTTACAAATGAAAAAGTAACTGACCCAAAATCATGAGGCCAAAACTCAAAGCAAGTAGCTGCATCCATAGTTGGTGCTAAAATATGACTCCAGGATCACTTGGGAAATTTTATGCTGCAAGGAAAAGAAACTTTGACACTCAAAGTGCTGTAGACATTTAGGGTATTTATCATCTCACATCCCAAAGCTCCCAAATAAAGCAGGTTCAAGACTGGTTGATGCAGTGATGTCATCAAGGACCCAGATTATCACTGTGCCTCTATTTTGCCATGTGAGTCTGGCTTCCAAAATCAGATCTACTCCTACCGGCTGTCTATTAAAGCAAGGTATTTAAACCCACTGAGCACAGTATATTCAATGTAATTGAGAATGACAACATTGCAGTGTAGACTCAGGACTGGAGGCAGGAAGGTGGCAGCTTCATATATTGGTACCCACTTCCTCATCTACAAGGTCAGGAGAATAACATCCTCTATGCCAGGGGTGGTTTGGAAGGTAAAGTCAATTAAAATACATAGAGTGTAAGAATCATGGCAGGCATATTGTAAGAGCTGCATATGTGTTAGATATTATTGTTGTTTTTCTTGTTATGCTATTGTGACAATGTCCAGAAAAAGAAATTATGGTTCCGTCTTAAATATTCAAATGGTCAGTCCATGAAGCAGATTTTCTCACATGCCCGCTTTATGGGAGTTGGGTTTCAGGCCCTTTCCTGAAATAATCACCAGATAGTGTAACAGGTGCACTTTTAGACCAATAGTCGGGACATCCGGGAGCTGAGGGCAGAGTCACCTTTCCTGAGGCACAGG